CTAGCGTTGTAAGTCCGCAGACATACCGCTGTGCCACTGGGGGTTAAGCTGTAATAATTTAAAAAGTCGGCACTTGAAGGCTAAGCTGTAATAATTAAAACAAGTCGATAATTTGAGTTGGTAACATGAGGGTAAAGCTGTAATAATTAAAAGAAGTCCGTAATTTGAAGGATAAGCAGGTAATAATAATTCGAAATATTATAAATAATCTTAGAATACCATAAGCTGCAATAATTAAAATAAGTTGGTAACTTGAGAGTTAAATCGTAAGAGTTAAAAAAAAAAGTCGCCAATTAAGAGGATTAAGCTGTAATGATTGAAACATGTCGATGATTTGAAGACGAAGTTATAATAATTTTCTACCTCTTTTATTTATTGAATTCCGTCTCAGAAAACACGCAATAAAAAAAAACAACAACATTTAACATATTTTTCTAAAGAAGGTTAATTCATTACGAATACGTAATCTTCAGTTATTCCAGTGTGTTAATCTCGAGTTTCATGTCTACATATATATATAAAAATATTAATCGATTTATTCTACATTTTTCACTGTCCCAACAGATTCTGGAAGTGAAAAACAGCTGCTAGTATACTATATGACAAATTGTATACGATTTAGATGAATCACCTGCCCCCGGAATTCCTTTCTTTTCTACCCATTAAGGGTTAAATTAGAAAATATACTGCATATAAGTTGTTACTTTCAATCCAGGAAACGTGGTTAAAACGAGAGAAAAATGAATGAATAGCCAGAAACTAACTGCAACCTAAATGAGGATAAAAAAAGTAAAATTTTCGTTATGAAGTCTGAAATTCTCTTTCTCTCTCTGCACACACACATATGTTTAATAACAAAAAATAGTAATCCAAAAACTACTCAAACACCCTTTATATCGATGACAGAACGATACCGATAGTGTTAAGAAATATAATAAAATGGCCTCACAGGAGCTTTTCCCCCCTGAAGAAATAAGATGATTTGTCTTTCAAAAGTGCTTGGATTATCGATCATATCTTCGATCATCCTGCGTGATTTCCTAGTTACGAACATATTCTGTTGTATTTGGGGAAAAAAGAAGATATATTCAGTTTTACTCTAAACTTACATCGCTAATAGATATATAACTCGTGACGAACATATTCTGGCACGTGCCAACGGCTAAATGCCAAACGCTTACTGTATAAAAACGTCGTACTAGGCCGGCTATTGCACATTAGACTGGTGAAATAGAGATGGAATAGAAACTCAAATGATTTATCTTAGCTTCTCTAGAGCCCTTGAGAAGCATGGTAATATACAGATGTATGTGTAAAATAACACAGGCCTGCGATGGTATTATTGTCTTGAAATGTTTACATGCTCTACAGTAATTCCTGTACACAGAATCCGAAAATGATGTTCATTTTTCTCCATCACCTACAGATTTTTCACAAAACGTCATATGTACTTTTACATAAGTGAATCATTTTCATTGAAATCGGGTCACATTTTGTTATGCTTAAAATGTTGACAACCGCTGGCTTCAAATTTCTCTAGACTAATCGCGAGGTGAGAGTCTTATCGATCGTTCTAGAACTCACGAGAAACACACCGCTTGTATATAAACGGTTAACAGGCCACACGACGTATCATTTCTGGATAGTAGTTGTTTGTGCGTGCACTTTGACATATTTTTTTCTTTTCAAAATTATTTATTCGTCGCTATGGCAACAAGAGTTGTGTAAATGACCCAAACATATTATGTTATATTTGTGGTAAATTTATTGTAAAGTAACAAAGGTAAAACATTACATAATTCATCAAACAAGTGTATTACGCGTATTTTGGAATAAAACTTGGGGATCAAGACAAATCATGGACTCCGCACAAAGTTTGCACTGTTTGTGTCGAAGAGTTGAAACAATGGACTAAAGAAAAAGTCTGCCTTTTGGAATTATAATGGTCTGGCGTGATCATAAAAAAACTTGGAGATGACTGTTATTTTTGCTCATGTAAGTGCAAGGCTACAACACTCGAAATAAAAAAAGAAATTTCTTATCCAAACCTTCAGTCTGCTATAAGACCTGTTGCTCATGGACCTGGTGTATCTGTACCCACTCCCCCACAGACTCCTGATACAGTTTCATCTTATTCTAAATCTGATGTCAATAGAAATGATGATAGGGATTGTTTTCAACCTGAAACGTCTGGAAAGGTTTCGTCAAGACATCAGGGAAATGGAGAGGAGTTATCAGGAAGGTAGAACATTAGCATGATGGCTGATTACTGCTGGGCATTGAAACGAGATGTTCCAGACGCAATACATAAAATAAGACCACAACACATAGTTTTGAGACTAAAAGACGTGGATTTCACAAAAAACATCAGGATGAATGAGGATGCATATTCCTTTGACATCAGTGTTCTTCCCTTTTCTTCAGTTTGTTTGTGTTTTTGTTAACAAACATAATAATAATAAAATAAATATGCTTATTAAATCATGTTCTTATTTGATATAATAATGAAATCAATAGCATATTAGTTTGAAGAAACTGAAAGTACTAGAACTGTATTCAAGTTTAAAAAAGTAACAAAACATTAAAATTTTATAACAAGACCGTTTCATTTGTACCATATCATATTTCGTTCTGTAGTTTATAGCTTAAATGTCATTCTTACTGGACTTCTTGTATTCAGCAATCATCCATAGTTTAAAGATATTATAAAAAAAACTGATGTTGAGATTCGATCTCCCTAACATGTTCAGAATTATACGAAATTTACTAGTGAAATAACTAACATGATTATGAGATTCACGATTATTTGAATGTGAAAAAAAAAGAATCAGTATAAAGAGAGAATATGTATTATTCTTTTCCAAGTCGGAAACCTCTACACTCTAGGCATAGGTGTCGCCAAGATTATTTAAAGGAGATTCGTTTCTTTTCACGTAGTATAATAATTAAATACTCACTATTTAATTGAAGTTGATGTGGATGCCACAATTATACGAATGTAAATCTCTTTTTAATAACTATTTTGCGCTCTATGACATTATATTATTATTTGAATCGTTCACTTTAAGCACATGTCATACTGTAATGAAACAGCTGGGAGTATGTAGGTGTAAACGAACAACTAAAGCAATCTGAAACGTATTCAATTGCCATAGCGTAAATGAATATATGAAGGACTTCTCCTAGGCACAATGAAATTTTAAAGTAAAATGTTTTTATGGTCAATATGGTGTAGTACAGTATGATACTTGCCAATTCATATTGCACTGAAATACGGGACCGTTAGCTATTCGGTACGTTTTGATACGTTATGGTCGTTAAGGATAGTGTTAAACTGCACATAGATGTGGCGACTAGTGGTTTCTTTTTTTAATTTCGCGCCAAGCCACACGAGGGCTATCTGCGCTAGCTGTTCCTAATTTAGCAGTGAAAGACGAGAGGGAAGGCAGCTAGTCATCACCACCCACTGCTAACTCTTGGGCTACTCTTTTACCGACGAATAGTTGGATTGACCGTCACATTATAATGCCCTCACAGCTGAAAGAGCAAGCATATTTGATGGGATGGGGATTCGAACCCGCGGCCCTCAGATTGCGAGTCAAGTGCCCTGACCACCTGGCCATGCCATTGGCGGCTAGTGGAATTCATGTTGATTTGTTGTCCAAAACGAGGGGTTTCATTCGCACTTCGTGAACCTCCTGACGACGACCTTGCAGGTCAGCATCAGTCTAGAATCAAATTACAAAATTTATCATGCAACCAAATTACTTACATAAAACTGATAATGTGTTATATAAACTTAAATAATAACTTAGCGATGTTTACCTGACACAAGAAAAATTGTAATGGATGGTCATAATTCATATTAATAGAAAAGTTTACAAGAAAATAGAATGAGATAAAGAAGTAGAAAAAAATCATTGCGAAATCTTTGACAGTTGATTTTGCGTTGTTGGATGAAGCATTAGTAATTTTAAGAACTTGTGAGTGAAAGCAAAAAAGAATATTTTATGGTATGTCAACCACACTATATCCGTTAAACCCCAATGCCGACGAAGCTTTTCGCTCAATACCAGGGTTCCACTAAGATACGACACAATCTTGGCAAAATGTCAACATTATCACAACACAATCTTTATTAAACTAGTAGAAACGCCGCCCTACTGGCGGCTGTTTGTGCTAGTAATTACTAATTGTTGTATTCATACCTCACTGTAAAAAAAGTGAACATTTTCTAGAAAAAGTATTTTTCTGGGAAGCACTGCATGGGAAAAAGTGTTCAGATTGTGCTCTTTAGTCACACGCAACTCATTATATCAAGCCCCCAGTGGCACAGTGATATGTCTGCGGACTTCGAACACTAAAATCCGGGTTTCGATACCCGTGGTGGGCAGAGCACAGATAGCCCATTGTGTAGCTTTGTGCTTAATTACAAACAAACATTGCATCAAAATGATTCAATGTACAGAGCTCAAAATTTTCGTAAATTTTACTGATATAAGCCATAATATTTTTATTAATTAAAAGTGCTACCCTTTAATGGAAAAATAATAGTTATTTTAAGAATTTCAGTTTCTCAGAACTACATTTAAAAATTACATCAATAAAAATACAATCAAACCCTAACGTACAGTCCTAGTGAAAGTCGTGCTCTTGTTGTGAGGAGAGTACGTTTATTTAAAATTGTGTTCTGTTATAAAGAAATGGCTGTTGTACATACTATAGTTATTTTTCGAATTGTTTGCATCTTGAATACCCAAAGTGTTAAATTTTGTATGGATATTTGTGGTGCCATTCAATAGATGACGCCACATTTCACTATTTCTGGCATTGAGATCTTCTATTTCAGCACAACAGATAACACCATCGTATTATTTCCACGCCATTGCTCCATTATAGCAAGATATATGTCTTACCATTAAACATGAAATAAGTAGAAGAAAAAAAACAACAACATTATTTAAGCGAATATAGCAGTTTGTCTAGTTCAAATTCCTTTAAATTTGGAAATACTAATATTTTTGTCAAAAAATATTTTGATAAAATGCAGAGGGCAATTTTTCGTCATGGCAGCGCTCTGTTGGGAAGAGTTTTACCGTGAGAATCCTGAACCCAAACATATATCCTTCGTCAAAAGTCAAATCACCGAGTTTTGTGAAAAATATAGAAGAGAACAAATACCCGTAGTTCTTGTTACGGTATAGTTTTAAAAGTTGAATAACTACGTTAGTACTGGTATTGTTACTGTTGTGGAACTTTAAATTATGACGACTACTATTTCAACTCAAGTATTTGTACTAGTTGTAGCACTCCTATTATTCAGTAGAGTACATTATTATTGAGATACATTTGTTAATTCATATGTAATCAGTAATATCAAACATAACATATAACATAATAAGTGACATTCCATCATTGAAATAATTGGAGAAATAAAATTGTATTAGTTTTCAAATGGTATATATTATGGAATTAAAAAACCCACATTATACACTGAATAAATATATATATATTATTTTATACATTAAATAGTGTTTGCTACATAACACAATTCCATTACAGGCAATATGTGTCTTCAAGGTTGCTACACTAAAAGTATTTAGATTGTATTTTAAAACCATCAATTTGATGTTATTAATAAACTTATGTAATTTATACCTCATGTTGTTCATTATGAAAATTATTTATTTGAACAATAAACAACAGCAGGTTTTAAAACTGGCATTTAGGAAATACCACTAAAAACTTTCATCCAATCAGAGAATTGCCCCTGATCATTTACTCTTTTATATAGTAAAGCTAGTTTTCAGCCTATTTTTAATAATTTTTTATGCAACATAAGAATAATATAGTAATTGATCTATCAGGTACAATCGTATTAAAATGTCCTGCAAGTTAAAATAGCTGCTTCTACCATAGTGCTCTCACTCAAAATCAAGCTTTATAAAACAAATTTCATCAAGTTCATGAGAAATTAAATTATATCCCTTACTAAGACCAAGATAAGTGTTATTTAGTTTCTAATGTTGTCTTTACATGTCTATTAATAGACTGACATCTACTAACACATATAAAGTAATTTAAGAGAGAGAGAAGTGACTCATGACTATTTAGCACACTGAGAATAACCCTCCACCCATAAAAATAACCAACCAAACTTATATATAAAATTAAGAGCTCATACACATTATGAGTTAAATATTTCTACAAATTTGTAACTCTAACAGATAAATTGTTTAAAATTTATATTTTATGACTCTGAATCTTATCTCTCCACCATGTTTTTTGTATTATGAGTAGCAAACATTATAGCAATTTTTTGTAGTTTTGGATTTCTTTTCTGTACTGCACTTTTTAAATTAAGCATTGAAGTCCCCAGTAGCTCTGTACTCAATTTCCTTTAAGCTTTGAGATATGAAGCACCACTTAAAGTTTTCCTGGTGCTACTACAGCGTGCGGTCTACCGCAGTATCTGTAGTCTACCCTGACCCAATTACCCCTACCCCAAAGGGATCATAGAAGACTGCTATTATTCAACATTTTTATAGTGTAAAATTCCTGGTAGACCGCACGCTATAGTAGCACCATTTTCTTTCTAAGTGTTCTGAAAGAGGTTTCTTGTATTTTAAAATTATTGAAGATTTATTGTTTTCCAATCATTAACAAATTGCATAGATAAAGAATTTCATCTTCACCATTGATTTCAAGCATTTGATTTATTCCTTATACATATATTTCCCAAAAGTGCATCATTTAAGAGTTTAGTGTTTTTTACACTCCTTACAAACAAATGCAGTAACAACAACACTTGATCTTAGCTGAAAACTGTTGGTTTATTAAACATTACATACTTATCACAGTGGAAGACAGGACATATGGCACTGATGTGCTAAGCAGTAAAACAGAATAATTGAATTAATTACTTCACAAATTATGTCCAAATTACCAACAGTTACTAGCAAAAATAAATTTAGTTTGATTCTGTGAAAATTAAGTGACAACTCTAGGGGTATGGTGCTACTGGAGTGCACATGAATATCATTTGACACCTGAACTTGAATCCTGATATGATTCATACTATATATACACAAACCTAGTTGAGTAAACATGAATGTCACATACTTTCAGAGTCGTACCTGTCCATACCTAGAGAACAAATCACGGTATTGTTATATGCTATGTTATTTTGGCTAGAGAGAGAGAGTTTTGCTTTGAGAATGAGACACTGAATGTTATGAAATAATTATAATTATGACTAATGGTGTTTCTGCTGATAAAGTAGCTCTGTATGAAACAGGATGTTTGTCTGTATGGATATTTGATTGCAACTTATCAGAATTTTAAATTTTGCAACTGAGAAAACTACATATGATATAAAGAAATGGTAGACAAAGGCAAATGAATTTATGTCAATATATGTGCAAGGCATTTGGAAATTGGAGCCATGGAAATGCCATTCTTTAAAAAAATTAGGTCTCTCTCAGAACTTTTTAAGTTCTATTACCATGAAGGGGCAAAGAAATGCTAGAGGTTCCATGCTCAACAGAATATTATCTTAAAGTAAAATTGTTACAATTTGATGCATTTAGAGGAACTGTAATTTTATTTTTGTTATCTCACAAGAAAAGTTTTAGGTAAAAAAAATACAGTTGATGTAGAGAAAATTATTTTGATTGTAAAATCAAGAAAATTACTTAGAATGCACTATCCCATATGTAAATATTTATACTGCCTTTAATATAAGAAATTAAATTTCTTTTCTATTTAATGATTTAAATATCTTATATAATATTTGGTTTATTTTGGGATTACAAGTATATATGGTGATGATAATTATTCACCTCAAGGAGGCAATGATTGTTTCAAATTGTTAATAATTTTTCTTTTTTTTTGTAAGCATCATTTTTGATAAGTTGTTTTATCATTTGTTGGATTTCAGTCTGGTGGAACAACTGTGCCCTTGGAACACAATACTGTAAGATATATTGACAACTTCAGTGCTGGCACCAGAGGAGCTGCTTCTACTGAGTATCCTTTCTTCTCATTGATGAAACATTTTAAGTTATGAGAATCATCTGTTGAACAATCTTTCAGTTAAAGGCAAGATTTAAAAAAAAAGTACATACCATTGCTTTCTATTTTCACATAAACAAAGAAATTAACAATATTTTTATCAAATTTAATTGAATATGATTTTGACAAAAGTCACAAACTATAAATCGTAAAGTGTTAGCTTTATATAAAAAACAATACTGTCATCTTTCCAAAACATGGAGAAGTCCCTGTTTTTTAATGATTTTTTGTTAAACTGAACTCATTCATGTTTAATATGACAGTACTTGATGCCAAGAGGTAGTGTGTTCTGTAAGTAACATTTACTCTTTTATTTCTTTATTTTTACTTTTATTAACAGTATTGCTTAGAATGTTTAATATATATCTGACTTGGGTATTTTTATTTTTTGTCATTATACTTTTATTATAGAGTTTTTTTTACATTGTAAGGTTAATAGATGTATATAGAACTAACCTGAATCTCCTAGCTGGCCAAACCTTTAGAGATATTATTGAATTTACTGCCAAACATATAATTAACAGCGAGGGTACCCAACTGATGAAACAACACATTTGAACCTTTATAAGTATTAAGAAAAGTATATTTAATTAGCTATACCCATTTCCAAGATGATTTTTAGTTTTTCTAAGTAAGTAGCTTGCTCTGATTAGAAGTTAATACTAACTATGTGCAATCTATGCCTAGTCTGTTCATTGTAGTTAGGCATTGAGTACTTTAATCATTAATCATATTTCAATTAACAGCTCTTGAAATGACACTTTCAGAGGTTTTTAATTCTAAATCTGGGACTCGAGTGTTTTGCTTCTTTTAATTTCACCAATGATATTCTTTATCTGCTTATCAAGACACATGAAATTTCTTGTACTGTTAGTAGCCACAAAATTTATTCAATAGTTCTAAGAGTATTTTGGATTTAACCTTCTTTTCCTCCAGTTTTATTTTTTTTCATGTTAATAATAACCATAAAGATCCAGTTGCCAATTATACCTTAAAGATCAATAAAGCTAATAATTAGTTGGAGTTTCAAATTCATGTTAATATTTTTTCATTCTTATTCAGAGTTCTAAGTCTCCTAATATTGGTATCTATGTCACTGAAATTACCTTTACTGTGTACCACTCTACATGTTTCAGTTAGATCCTTTTCGTAATTGAATTTCTGTAGTGCATATTGGTGTATAGTAGACATTTTAATACCAGAAATAAATGACCTTATAACACCAAAATATTATTTTTCTTTAATTGAACACTCAATATTTCTCTTTACCTCTTTTTCAGGAGCATTTCACTAAAACACAAACTGTAACTGACAGTACAAATTGTAATTGAATCTTTAATTTCTATAGCTCATATTGATGTATAGAAGACAATTTAGAATTTATTATTTAAACCATTTGAAGCTTTGTACTGACAGTTATGGTTTGTGTTTTAGTGGAACACTCCCAAAGAAGCTAGATCCTTGCTGGTAACTTGCACTGGAGATCCATTACTTTTTCAATGATTAAAGTTAATTACATTGATTTTTTGTTTTATAGTTGTAATGCAAACCTTGAATATTTAATTCTGTATCATATTCAAATTTTGTAAATATAGTTTTAATCAACTGAATTAGTAGTTTGTTTAAATTATCAAGGATGAGAATTATGATTTAAATATCCATTGCAAATGTTTTTTAGCATTTACTTATTCTAATAAATCAAAAATTAATCTCATAAATTACAATGGAATGGAACAATATCCATTCTACCACTGCTTGTGAAGTTTCAAATTCTTGTACTGATTATTGTAAATCTTATTATTATACCAAATTATGACAGTTTTGATAAATCTTTCAAACATGAAATTACTAATTATGATAGGGCAGTTTATTCACTATAGAACTTCTTTATTGGGTCCACAAACATCACATTCATTTGATGGCATGTCATGTACCGGGTGCTTTCAATCTCATAGACAATTGTCTTTCCCGACACAATTGCATTTATCCCATGGAGTGGTCTCTGCATCCTGCCGTTTTTCAGTGGCTCTGTCTGCATCTGGGTATGTTCCATATCGATGCCTTTACCACCACCCTCAATCACAAATTACTTCCGTTTTGGTCCCTGGTCCCCCCATCCTCGAGCCTTAGCTGTCGATGCCTTCAGCCAGGATTGGTCTCATCTGTTCCTTTATGTTTAACCCTCCCATCCACTTACTTCATTGGGTGGTCACTCTCATCCATGCACAGTCCTTCTGATTGCACCTTACTGGCTTGCTCAACCTTGGTTCCTCGGTTGTTCCAACTGCAGGTGGTTGCTCCCCATTCTTCTTCCCTTCCGACCCAATCTGCTCTGTCAGTCCCAGTCACTGGCACTCCATCCCCTGCTGTCTCTTCTCTGTCTTCATGCCTGGCTTTTGTCAGGTCCTCAATGAGTAGTTCCGATTTCTCTCACAGAGTAGCTTTACATTTAACCTCTTCCATTTGCTCTTCTTCTTTGGCCATCTATTAATGCAAATGGAGAGTTTATTGGTACTGAGCATTGACTCAGGGTTTCTGGGCTTCTCACCCAACAGTTGCCTGTATCTCCGAGTTTCTCACGTGGCTTTTTGAGAGGGGTTCTTTGGTTGCTCCTGGGCTGGGACATTAATGTGGTCCTTCATGCCTCCACTTTACTTCCGTTCGAACCTCTGTTTAGGTGTTTCCTGTTTCACCTCTCTTTGAAGGCATATTTCCTCCTCCTCCTCCTCCTGGTCTGTGGGTGTTGCCAGTCAGATATTTTCACCCTTGACATTACCAGGACTTTGTACCACTCCACCTACCTTATCCGGATGTGCTTTCCTTCCCAAGACCTCTGCAGCTTGAGAAGGTCAGTCTGCCTTTTCACCTATCTGCCTATCCTCTATATCTCATCTCTACCCTCATCCTGATCCGAATAGATTCCTCTGTCCTGTCCGTGGCCTCTGTTGTTATATTGCTAGCACGGCTTCTTTCCGGGGTCCTCATTCCTGTCTTTTTATCCCTTGGCAACCTTCTTCTTCCCATGATCTTTCCCCAGTCACCCTGCCCAGTTGGGTTTGACGTTTGATTTAGTTGGCCTATTCCTCCTAGTCTCCTTCCCAGTATGATCTCTTTTTTTGTTTCCACACATCAAATCTGTCACCTTACCTTCTTTCTTGCCTCTCATCTTCATCAGCCAATGGAAGAGATTATACGATCAGGCATGTGGATGACTTCACACAAGGTCACCTCCCTTACCTGCACCACATCACTGTTCCTACCTTTGTGTGTATGTCGGTACCCAGCGAGTGAGGTTTTGGAGATTGAATGAACCAATCACATAAGTCCTCAACTTGTCTTCTTTGTTTTGGGCCACAGAAGGTCTACATGGCCTGTTTCTAATTCTGTCCTAGGTTTTCCCTTGTTGGGTGATGAGGTTGTCACCGACCTGGGGTTGTTTCGGGCTAGTTGTTTCACAGTCATGACGAAGAGATACCTGGCTCAGATGTGATGCGGTCCCCCTCCTCAGATCATTTGATCTGTACCTCTCATTTTGGGGGATACGCCTGTGCTTCTCTCGCACTGGTCCCTCCTCCATTTCAATGTGGGATTCAAGCTAATCTTGTGAGTGGAGGGAGAGTACCTTATCGGAAGTTATAATTTTCATAAATGAAAATGTATTTCCAATAGGTACTTCCCTCATCTCACACATTCCCCTCGTCCTCCCCACAATTTTTTGGTAGTGGCCCTTAGAGGGAGTAACATGCATCACGTGATAGTAGTGCTCTCCTATTGTTGTAGAGGTGACGCATGATGATTTGCATGAGAGATGTGTTGGAATTGTGTATTCCAACAGAGGGAGATAAAGGCTTGTGACATGCGTTTCTGAAAAAGTTCGCCTATAGAGGCCAGCACAAAAAAAGAGAAAACCTAATCTTGTTAGAGGAGGGAAGTACCTATCGGAAATACATTTTCATTTAGGAAATTTATAACTTTTGGACAATTTTTATTTGACTTATAAAAGAGGGCCCTTCTAGCTACTCTGCATTTGGGCCTTGCAAACTCTAAGGCTAGGTCTGCATTTGAAATTATAACCCACATGAATTACCTTGCATTTGTCATAATTCAAAGCCATTTGCTATTTATCAGCTCAACTCACCAAATGATCTAAATCCTTTTGTAAGGCAGCAGCATCCATACAGCCAGCAACACCTAAGGCCTTAATTCCATCAGTGAATTTAAGTAATTTATTGACCATTCTTTCATCAAAAAGAGCAAAGGTCCTAACATTAAGCCTTGAGGTACTTCTTTTTGTGACCACTGTCCAGTTTACTGAACTCCATTTATAAGAATCACCTTCTGCTTTCTTCTGTCTAACCACTCTTCTATACAATGAGCTAACTTATCCCCATGCCTGCAGAGATAACTTTTTGACAAGCTTTTTATATGATTATCAACTGCCTTATGAAAATCCAAATTACACAAAATCCACACCCTTACCTTAATCTACATTAGCAGTAACCTCTTCAAAGGCAATTGGTAAGGCAACTTTTTTCTCTTAGAGAAATCATGTTGACTGTCCAACAGATTTTAAACTTTGTTAAATGACTTTGCAAAACATTTCTTATCAGACTTCCAAAAATATTTCCCACCACTGATTTAAGGTTAATATGCCTATAAATTGGAGAAACATTAGCCAACTTCAAACCCTCTGATGTCTGTTCACTATTCAATGACTTATAAAAATCCCCTTATAGGACGGTGGTAAGTTTACGGATTTGCAGTGCTAAAATACAGGGTTTGATTCCCCATGGTTGACACTGTAGATAGTCCATTGTGGCTTTGCTGTAAAACAAAATTTACAAGAAACAGCACCAAATGATTTGCATATCCAGTCCTTAACTTCTTTCAAAACCTTTGGTCCAGGAGCCCTATCATTCATTAAACTCCCTAATTTTTTCTTAAGCTCAGAATTAATGTATTTGTTTGTTTGTTTGTTTTGAATTTCGCGCAAAGCTACATGAGGGCTATCTGCGCTAGCCATCCCTAATTTAGCAGTGTAAGACTAGAGGGAAGGCAGCTAGTCATCACCACCCACTGCCAACTCTTGGGCTACTCTTTTACCAACGAATAGTGGGATTGACCGTCACATTATAACGCCCCCACGGCTGAAAGGGCGAGCATGTTTGGTGGGACGGGGATGCGAACACGCAACCCGCAGATTGCGAGTCGAGCGTCCTAACCACCTGGCCATGCTGGCCCCAGAATTAATGTAATCATCTTGTTCATTCTTGTTTCCATTTAGCAACTGTTCAATCTGGATAGGATATCTGCATAAAATTTCATGCAATGGAACCTCTTGATAACTTTACTAATATTGCGAACTACCATAGCTACTAATAAAATTCACTTTAATAAAGTTTATATTGCTGTAAATTAGTTTTATTGGGATATTCAGTTTACCTGTCCTCACAGATCATTCATAATTGTTATGGAATTTACTTAGCATCTACGGTTGTTTTTTACTGTGCTTTATGTCAGTAAAATACACCAGAAATATGTACATTCTAGTCATGGCTTCAGTCAAGGTTTGCATACTTTTATAGTTGGAAATTTTGTAGGTGCTCTTAATGTCATGATTAAGAAAATTGTAATCTAACTTTATAAAATACGAATACATTTTGTTAGGTTTCAGTGAATTTAGGAAGTATGTAATTATTGGTATTAGTATTATTTCTTTAATGTTGTAATAAATGCATAACTAGAGTAATGCAATATTTTTAATTAGGTGCACTGGCTAAGATATACATACACATTCAATAAAAGACAATTGGTATAGGTGGAAATAGTTTGTTAAGCAAGAATTAGATAGTACGCTTACACTTCAAAGAGTTGCTGAATAACTTTGGTAGAACTCACATTGTTAGAGTTCATGACATGTATAGACTAGTGGCTATATGTTAAGATCACATTGTTAAAATTGTGGCTTGCACAGACAGATGGCTCTATTTGGAGATTTCATTGTCAAAATTACTGGCTTGTGTAGACAAATTGCTCTATATTGTTAAACTTCCTGGCTTTTGTAGACAGGTGGCTGTATGTGGAGATCTCATTGTCAAAATTCCTGGCTTTTATAGACAGGTGACTTTATATGAAGATCACATTGTCAAAATCCCTAGCTTGTATTGACAGGTGGCTGTATGTGAAAGTCATTGTTAAAATCCCTAACTTGTATAGACAGGTGGCTGTATGTGAAAGTCATTGTTAAAATCCCTAGCTGGTATAGACAGGTGGCTGTATGTGAAAGTCATTGTTAAAATCCCTAACTTGTACAGACAAGTGGCTGTATGTGAAAGTCATTGTTAAAAT